GCAGCACAATTATGGGGCCACGATCCTCGTGAGGGGTGTGCCGAAATGGCCCGGGGCCGCCATGCGAACCCTGTCGTTGGCGCCTTCGGTGGAGCTCCAGTGGGGCCACGGTCCTCGTGAGGGGTGTGCCGAAATGGCCCGAGGCCGCCATGCGAACCCTGCCACTGGGGCCTTCGGTGGAGCTTCCTATGGGGCCACGATCGTGAGGGGTGTGCCGAAATGGCCCGAAGCCGCCATGCGAACCCTGCCACTGGCGCCTTCGGTGGAGCTCCCTATGGGGCCACGGTCCTTGTGAGGGGTGTGCCGAAATGGCTCGAGGCCGCCATGCGACCCCTGCCACTGGCGCCTTCAGTGGAGCTCCCTATGGGGCCACGATCCTCGTGAGGGGTGTGCCGAAATGGCCCGAGGCCGCCATGCGAACCCTGCCACTGGGGGCCTTCGGTGGAGCTCCCTATGGGGCCACGATCCTCGAGAGGGGTGTGCCGAAATGGCCCGAGGCCGCCATGCAAACCCTGCCACTGGGGGCAGTCGGTGGAGCTCCCTCTGGGGCCACGATCCTCGTGAGGGGTGTGCCGACATGGCCCGAGGCCGCCATGCGAACCCTGCCACTAGGGCCTTCGGTGGTGCTCCCTATCGGGCCACGATCCTCGTGAGGGGTGTGCCGAAATGGCCCGAGGCCGCCATGCAAACCCTGCCACTGGCGCCTTCGGTGGAGCTCCCTTTATGGGTCCACGATCGTCGTGAGGGGTGTGCCGAAATGGCCCGAGGCCGCCATGCGAACCCTGCCACTGGCGCCTTCGGTGGATCTCCTATGGGGCCACGATCCTCGTGAGGGGTGTGCCGAAATGGCCCGAGGCCGCCATGCGAACCCTGCCACTGGCGCCTTCGGTGGAGCTCCCTTATGAGTCTACGATCGTCGTGAGGGGTGTGCCGAAATGGCCCGAGGCCGCCATGCGAACCCTGCCACTGGCGCCTTCGGTGGAGCTCCCTATGGGGCCACGATCGTCGTGAGGGGTGTGCCGAAATGGCCCGAGGCCGCCATGCGAACCCTGCCACTGGAGCCTTCGGTGGAGCTCCCTATGGGGCCACGATCCTCGTGAGGGGTGTGCCGAAATGGCCCGAGGCCGCCATGCGAACCATGCCACTGGGGCCTTCGGTGGAGCTCCCTATGGGGCTACGAAGCGTTGTGCTGGGTGGGTGAAACGCAAGGAGGAGGGGGAGGAGGAGAGGAGGAGAGGAGACGCGGGCCACCGTCTCTTCAAAACGAGGACCCAACACCACAGGATGGCTGGGAACAAAGGATTTGCCACATTTCTGACATTCGGTGGCGCCTCTCACGCAGATCGGCAGGGTCAGGGTCCAAAAACACGAAGGATTTGCAACATGTCTGAAATCCGGCGGCACCCCTCACGCAGATCGGCAGGGTCAGGGTCCAAAAACACGAAGGATTTGCTACATCTTTGAAATTCAGTGGCACCCCTCACGCAGATCGGCAGGGCCAGGGTCCAAAAACACAGGGGATTTGCAACGTGTCTAAAATTCGGTGGCAACCGTGACGCAGATCGGCGGGGTCAGGGTCAAAAAACACGGGGGATGTGCCACATGTGTGAAATTCTGCGGCGCCCCTCACGCATATCGGCAGGGTCAGGGTCCAAAAACACAGGAAGGATTTGCTACATTTCTGAATTTCGGTGGCACCCGTGACGCAGAAGCGTAGGGTCAGGGTCGGAAAACAAACAGGTCCCGACACTGCTTCACGGCGGCGCCCAGACCTCATGATTTAGCTATCGCATCTCCCATTATCAGAGACGGTGGGCAAGCGGCATGGGGCGAAGCCCTTACGGATAATCGTAGTAGTAGCTGTGGTAGTAGTAGTAGTAGTAGTAGTAGTAGTAGTAGTAGTAGTAGTAGTAGTAGTAGTAGTAGTAGTAGTAGAAGTAGAAGTAGTAGTAGTAGTAGTAGTAGTCGTAGTAGTAGTAACAGTAGTAGTCGTAGTAGTAGTAGTAGTAGTAGTAGTAGTAGTAGTAGTAGTAGTAGTAGCAGTAGTAGTCATATTATTAGTATTATTACTAGTAGTAGTAGTAGTAGTAGTAGTACTACTAGTAGTAGTAGTAGTAGTAGTAGTAGTTATCAGTCAGTCAGTTAGTAGTAGTAGTAGTAGTAATAGTAGTAGTAGTAGTAGTAGTAGTAGTTAGTTGTAGTAGTAGTAGTAGTAGTTGTTTCGTAGTAGTAGTTTATTAGTGTAGTGTAGTAGAGTTATTAGTTGTCGTAGTAAAGTTAGTAGTAGTAGTAGTAGTAGTAGCAGTAGCAGTAGTAGTAGTAGTAGTAGTAGTAGTAGTAATCAAAGTAGTGGTAGTACACGTAGTACAGCTAGTAGAAGCAGTAGTAGTAAAACGTTGTAGTAGTAGTAGTAGTAGTAGTAGTAGTAGTAGTAGTAGTAGTAGTAGTAGTAGTAAGGGTAGTAGTAATCGTAGTAGTAGTAATAGTAGTAGTAGTCGTACCAGTAGTAGTAGTAGTAGTAGTAGTAGTAGTAGTAGTAGTAGTAGTAATAGTAGTAGTAGTAGTAGTAATTAGTGGTAGTAGTTGTAGTAATCAGAGTCGTGTTTAGCAGAAATAATAATAGCTAGAACTAATGGTAGTGTATTCGTAGTCGTATCGTTATTTGTATTATTAGTAGTAGCCTAATCGTCAGGTCTACAGTAGTTTATTTGTCTGTAGTCTGATTAAGTATTTAAGTAGTAGTATCATTCGTAGTAGTAGTAGTAGCAGTAGAAGTAGTACGAGTGGTCGTAGTAGTAGTGGTAGTAGCAGTAGTAGTAAAAAATGGTAGTAGTAGTAGTAGTAGTAGTAGTAGTAGTAGTAGTAGTAGTAGTAGTAGTTGGAGTCGTCGAAGAAATAGTAATAGACATAGAGTCATGGTAGTAGCAAGAGTAGTAGTAACAATCGTAGTTGTAGTAGCCGTGATACTAGTAGAAACAAAGTTCGAGGTAGTAGTAGTAATCATTGTTAGTCGTAACAGCACTAGTAGTAGTAGTAGTAGTAGTAGTAGTAGCAAATGCTATCATGTTTCGAAGAAATAATAGAAATCGACGTAGACGTAGAAAAAGGCGTAGTCGTAGTAGTAGTAGTAGTAGTAGTAGTAGTAGTAGTAGTGGTAGTAGTAGTAGTAGTAGTAGTAGTAGTAGCAGTAGCAGTAGTAGTAGTAGTAGGAGTAGTAGTGGTAGTAGTAGTAGTAGTAGCAGTAGTAGTAGTAGTAGTAGTAGTAGTAGTAGTAGTAGTAGTAGTAAGAGTAGTAGTGATGGAATTCGTAGTGATAGTAGTGGTCGTAGTCGTGATAGTAGTAGTGCAGTAGTAGTAGTAGTAGTAGTAGTCTCAGTAGTAGTAGTAGTAGTAGTAGTAGTAGTAGTAGTAGTAGTAGTAGCAGTAGCAGTAGCAGTAGTAGCAGTAGTCGTAGGAATAGTAGTAGTAGTAGTGGTAGTAGTAGTGGTAGTAGTAGTAGTAGTAGTAGTAGTAACAGTAGCAGCCGTAATCGTATTAGTCGTAGTCGTAGTAATAATAATTGTAATTGTAATAGTACTAGTAGTAGTACTCGTAATAGTAGTCGTAGTAGCAGTAGTAGTAGTAGTAGTAGTAGTAGTAGTAGTAGCAGCAGTAGTAGAAATAGTAGTAGCAAAAGTAGTAGTCATAAGTAGTGGTAGTAAAAGTAGTAGTAGTAGTAGTAGTAGTAGTAGTAGTAGTCGTAGGCGTAGTAGTAGTTGGAATACTAGTAGTAGTAGTCGTAGTAGTGGTAGTAGTAGTAGTAGTAGTAGTAGTAGTAAGTCGTAGTAGTAGTAGTAGTAGTAGTAGTCGTAGTAGTCGTAGTACTAGCAGTCGTCGTAGTAGTAGTAGTAGTAGAAGTAGCAATAGTAGTAGTAGTAGTAGTCGTAGTGGTCGTAGTATCAGTAATGATAGTAGTACTACTCGTACTAATATTCGTAGTAGTAGTAGTAGTCGTAGTAGTAGTTGTAGTAGTAGACATAGCGGTAATCGTAGTAATGTGATCGTTGTAGTAGTAGTAGTGGTAGTTGTAATAGTAGACATAGTTGTTGTAGTAGTAGTTGTAGTCGTAGTAATGGTAATCGTAGATGTAGAAGTAGTAGTAGCCGTGGTGGGAGTAGTAGTAGTAGTAGTAGTACTAGGGAGTCGTAGTCGTAGGAGTCGTATTAGTAGTAGTAGTAGCAGCGTTGAAGTAGAAGATGTTGTAGTAAATAGCAAGTGGTAGTAGTAGTCGTTGTAGTAGTAGTAGTAGCAGTAGCAGTAGTAGTTTAGTAGGCAGTAGTAGTTGCAAATAAATAGTGTTAATGGTTGTTGGTTAGTGGTTGTTGGTATAGTAACAATGGTCGTATTCGTAGTCGTAGTTAGTATAGTGTAGTTGTAGCTAGTAGTAGTAGTAGTTAGTAGTCGTTGTAGTAGTTAGTAGTGTAGTAGTTGTAGTAGTAGTGGTAGTGGTTGAAGTAGTAGAGTAATAGGTAGTAGTAGTAGTAGTAGTAGTTATAGTAGTGTAGCGCAGCTGCAGCTGCCCTGCTCAGCAGCAGCAGCAGTAGTAGTAGTAGTAGTAGTAGTAGTAGTAAGTAGTAGTAGTAGTAGTAGTAGTAGTAGTAGTAGTAGTAGTAGTAGTAGTAGTAGTAGTAGTAGTAGTCGTAGTAAGTAGTAGTAGTAGTAAGTAGTAGTGGTAGTAGTAGTAGTAGTAGTAGTAGTAGTAGTAGAGGTAATAGTCGTAGTGGTAGTAGTGGTCGAAGTAGTAGTAGTAGTAGTAGTAGTAGTAGTAGTAGTAGTAGTAGTAGTAGCAGTAGCAGTAGCAATAGCAGTAGTAGTAGCAGCAGTAGCAGTAGCAGTAGCAGTAGCAGTAGTAGTAGTAGTAGTAGTAGTAGTTTTTCTAGTAGTAGTCGTAGTAGTAGTAGTAGTAGTAGTCGTCGTCGTCGTCGTCGTCGTCGTCGTCGTCGTCGTCGTCGTTGTAATAGTGGTGGTGGTAGTCGTCGTACTCGTAGTTGTAATGGTTGTAGTGGTTGTAGTCAGAGGAGAAGGAAGAAGGCGAGGGAAATAGGACACGGACGAGGGACCGATCAAGATGACGAGGGCAAAGAGCAGAAGGGCAGGAAGACCAGGACCTGCCGCGTTTCCCCGCGGAGCGGTGTGTACCTCCGCCCTCGAAGTGCAGGACCTCTGCGACCCCGTAGGGCGGGTGCACGTGGCCGAAGACGTGCACCAGTGGGCGGACTCGCGCCAGGTGCTCGCGCAGCGCCCCACATCCGAATCTCATGCCGTAGAAAGAATCCAGCACTCCGAGAGGAGGCCCGTGCGTCACCAACAAGTGTGTGTCAGCGGGTATGGCGCTGAAACAACGGTCCGCTTCATCTTCATTGCGCAGATCGAAGCCCATGATGCCAGCGGTGACGATGCCAGGCGTACGTGGGCAACCAAATAATTTGTAACCGCACACTGTGGTGCACGCCGTCGTGGCATGAGAAGAAGCTCTTGTCGATCCATTCGACTGTGACGCAGCGGGAATGGCAGATGAATCGGTAATTGTACACTGGGGTCCGCGCGACTCTTTGGACGAATCATTCGGCGATGGTCCAAGCAATAAGCGAAATCCATCGCAAACAGCTGGGACCACTTTTGATACTGCAGATGGGTCATTGTCTCGCATGACCTTCCACATCATGTGGATCGATGGGTAGCCGTCCGTGTCAAGCGACACGTCGTGATTGCCTGGTACATACACTTTGTGAGGATGTGGCAAAGACATGAACCAATCAAAAAAATCAACAAATTCTGACACGGTCCCAAAATCTGTGGCGTCACCTGCATGTATGAGCACATCGCCATCTGGTACCGAAAGGGAACGGTGGTGATTATGTGTGTCAGACATGCAGACAACACGTATACGTAAATGAGCTGGTCGTTTAGAATACTGCATTTGTTGTGTCTGGCTTTGTCCCATTGAGCTGGATGTTCTTTTACCAATGCCCAATCGATTGATACAGCAATGGGCGTTTGAACCAATAGTGGCTACATAAGAGTACTTCTGGCATGCCGTGCTCGCTGTGCGACGCGGTCATGTCTTGCGAGTTGCGTGCGTATAAAAGACGCTGCCGCGTGTATGACAAAATGAGAGACGTCAGACTCAAGTCTGGGGTACTCGAGTTTGCATGACAGGGGCCGTCCGACAAAGGATGGGCCCTAAGCTGAAATTTGGCGCGAGCTCCCGCTGCAAGCATCTCACGAAAACTGAACTGTCAATTTTCTTGCCAAGAGAATCAACAAGTGGCGGCAAATCGCGATTCTGGCAAAGTCGAGTCTTACCTTTCTCCGATAAGACATGCTTGCAACCTGCTGGAATCAACAAACCCAGCATCGTGCCGTAAGCACCGAAGGGAATGGCCTCATTTTCCTTCGAGTTCTCTACCGAGGACTGCAACTGATTTCGAAGGCCAGGCCCAACGTTTCCAGACTTGGGCGCTCTTATTTGTTGGGATGGTGATTTCCCGAGGTCTTGGGAGCGTGGTTTAGAATGTGGACTGTCTTAGAGTCACTGGGTGCTGGCCCAAGAGATTCAAATCATACGTGCATGCCGTAACAATGCTTGCCCTAAACGGTTCTTGCTCCTGTTCTGAATCATTTGATGGGTTATCCGGGTTTTCGCCCTGTCGTCATCCGTCGCCGCCTTGTGCGCTGGCTGTTCTTCTCGACATAAGCGCGTGGCCCGCATGCTATTTCTTGAACGGGATTCTTACAACACGCACTTGTTAGATCAACCCACGTGCCCCTTCATATGTTTTGGCAAGGGGTGTCGGGGGTGTCACTATAGGTTGGCTGCGCATGCTGTTATCCGATGTCTAGATCGAACAACATAACAACCAACTATGAAAACGCAATGTGAAACACATAACAGTTCAGTCTGGTCTCGGCGTGTAGAGTCTAATATTCTTTCAAAAAGAGAATCTATGGTGTCCACCGGCGAGAACCAAAAATATCCAACCATGAGGTACCGGCGCTGGGAACGGCCGATTGCGGCCAGCAAGGAGCCGTAGACAAGGAACCACTGGGCATCAGCCATAGAACACCGACCAGGAATGGCAGACTGTCGCCCAGAGAGTCAAGACTGTAGCACGAACGCGCAGAGCACCAACCATAGGATAAAGACTGGGAACGGTAGACCACGACACCGAGGGTCGAAAACAAGGCACCAACACCTAGAGCACCAGCCGTAGGCCATCGGCCAAGAGCGGCCGTCTACGACCCCACGGGCCAAACATAGAACACCAACGCATAGAGCACCAACCATGCGTAGGGCACCGACCAGGACCAGCAGACAGCGACCCCGAGGTTCAACCTCAAGGCACCAAAACGCAGAGGGCATCAACCATAGGGCACCGACCGGCAACTGCCGACTTCGACACCGCACGCCAACCATACACACCGACGCATATCCGCCACCGTGCCCTGAGTTGGAGCGTCTTCAGTTCCTTGGCCTAACCCCCCAAGCCTCGGTCCTGAATCCTGGAAATTTTTTTTTGGTCAGCGGCCCCGAGACTAAGGTCAGGGAGCAAAGGCGTCGTGCGGGCCACGGTCGAGGCTAATTTGCAAGACAGTGCGCTGCCAGCCAGAGTAGGCGGACAAACTGCTCGCACCTGCACGTGCACTGAACAGAAAGACCAGAATTCGAGAGGCAAGCTCACATCCTGGAGATTCTTGAAGGGTGCCAGATCCCAAATTCTTAAAGCTCTCGGGGCTGGTCGCGTGCCCCGCAGGCCCTGGCGCGTCTTCCCGCGTGACTTCTCCAGACCCTATTTGGCCCCAAGACGGCCAAGAGGGCCCCACGAGGCCCCCAAGACGGTCCAAGAGGGCCCCGAATCGCCGAACGATCGCATGAAGACGGCTGCAAAGGTACCCAATACGGCCCAAGAAGGGCCCAAGAGGCATCCCAAGAAGGCCCCAAGGCGTACAAATCGTCACATTATTTTAAGAGAACCTGCGGTAGAGCAAAAAGCGAAATAAGCATCGTGAGATGTAGTAAGGGACGGATGTGCGAGGCATCTTCCAGGAGTAGGACTCTTTTCCAAAGTAGCAGCGGATCGATAGCTGTGCCTACGATCCGGGCATATAGGAGTAGGCCTCTTTCCCGATCCAGGAAGCTCCCAGGAGGCCCCAAGAATGACCCAAGAAGCTCCCAGGAGGTTTCCTTATCCTCCTCCTCATCCTCCCTTTTCCTCCCTCTCCTCATCCTCCTCTGCGTCCCCGCGTGTTCCCCGAAGGGCTTCCACAACGGCTTGGGGAACGCACGGTCCAATAGCGTGGCCAAGCTTTGTCCCCACGTCTGGCCACAAAGGCGTACCCTGAAAAGCAGGGTGTGCGGCGGTGACCCTCCGCAAGCGTCTTCTCGCGGGCGTCCAAGGAGGGGGGGGGGGGGGGCGCAACACATGGCCAGCGGCATGTGGGCGGCCCCCAGGGCTGGGGTCGTATTGGCATAAGAAGAAGAGCTCTGAGATCTGGGGCCCGCTATGACATGCACCCCCCCTTGTCATCACCACCCTCTTTGCTGCCCCCGGTCTTCGATAACACCAGCCGCATGGGGTACCGACCGGGAATGGCCGACTGCGATGCAGACGGCTGAACATGATGCACCAGCGCACAGGGCACCAAACATGGAGCACCGACACGGCAGGACCGACCGCGACACAGATGGTCTCCCACGAGGCTCTTATGCAGAGGGCACCAACCACAGGGTGTAAATCAGGAGCGGTCGAATGCGACAGCGCGGACCAGTTCTCATGAACCTAGACATGTTGCCAGAAGAGCAAGCGCGGTGTCAAGGAAAAGTTACGGTCGCCCCATGCAGAGCTCCTCGGCCAGATCCGCTGTCGATTGGACTGTACCTCTGCTTGGCTCGGAGATGCTCAAAATAGCCGCTGCCATTCGATTTGGGCAGGCGCATTCGGGATGGAAGACGCGCTCACGGGTTGCGGAATCACGCGAGGAAGCGTTGAAATTCTCTCGGATGGACCACCATGGACAGCATTATCCGGCACGGCATGTTGCATGGCCTTGCCCCTCGTGTGCGCAAATCACCAGACAACGATCCACTACGCTCACTGACAAGATCGTGTGGTGAGATATTCAACAAAGCTCGTTGCCTGTACAGCCCTGAGATCCGACATTTCGAAAAGTTGAAACATCGTGAGACATCACGACCTCTTTCTGCGTCATTTCTCGAGCCAAATGAATCTGTGAGGGTCCCGTGGCCCGAAAGCGGGCGAAAACGCCTAGCTCGAGAACTGAAGCCGCAAGGATCTCAGCGCATACCCGTCCATTCTGTCTCCCCCTGCCTTCCTCGATCCCTCGAACTGGGTGTGGAAGAGGCTCTTGAAGCCGCGCCAGAACCCGACGGTGTTCACGTCCCTGCGGGGCCGCCGGCGGGCCTTCGCTGCGCCACCGTCGCTTCTTGCCCTCCTTGCCCCTCCAGTCGTAGTAGTAATCGTAGTCGTAGTACCAGTCGTAGTAGTCGTAGTAGAGGTAGCAGTAGTAACAGTAGTAGTAGTAGTAGTAGTAGTAGTAGTAGTAGCAGTAGTAGTAGTAGTAGTAGTAGTAGTAGTAGCAGCAGCAGCAGCAGTAGTAGTAGTAGTAGTAGTAGTAGTCGTAGGAGTAGTCGTAGTAGTCGTAGTAGTAGGTAGCAGCAGTAGTAGTAGTAGTAGTAGTAGTAGTAGTAGTAGTCGTAGTAGTAGTAGTAGTAGTAGTAGTAGTAGTCGTAGTAGTCGTAGTAATAACCGTAGTAGGAGTTGTCGTAGTAGTGGTAGTAGTAGTCGTACTAGTGGAAGTAGTGGTAGTAGTAGCAGAGGTAGTAGTAGCAGTAGTCGTAGTAGTAGTCGTAGTAGTGGTCGTAGTAGTGGTAGTAGTCGTAGTAGTAGTAGTAGTCGTAGTAGTAGTAGTAGTAGTAGTAGTAGTAGTAGTAGTAGTAGTAGTAAAAGTATGTAGTAGTAGTTGTAGTAGTCGTATTAGTAGTAGTAGTATAGTAGTAGTAAGTAGTAGTAGTAGTAGTAGTAA